TTTGTCCATCCGTCTAAAACCCGAAGATAACCACTTTATAGTTATATAATACAAAGATTCATATGTTCACATTTGAGAAGCTAGAAATGTTGAGAGTTTTTACATGTTAACAGTTCTCTATAAAAACTGCATGTTGTTGATCTTCTCATAGTCAACTCATCAATTAATGGAAAACCACATTAGCATAACTGTTTGCTGTGTTCGGTGGAAACTACCTTTTCTGCCTCTCCACATAGGTATTTATGCAGCAGCATAAAAGCAGAAACTGCCAGCAGACACCATAACGTTAACTACAAGCAGATTAGCACCAGAGCTGTAAAACAGTAGCACAAGCATGTCGAAATGTTACTTCAGTGTTATTGCTGAGCACAAAAATGCTACATTAACAGAGCCGAGACATCAACTAGCAGGGATCCAGCTGAATTAGCAATTTCACAATGCAGGAACACAGCAGAGCAAAACAGCAGGCGGATGTTTAACAGTTTAAATAAACCGCCTTATCGAATTTGTGGATTTGTTGCAGCAAGTAGAGTACGTTGTGTGACATTAGTAGGTGAGTTTGTCTGCTTGAAGTAGCTCACAGCAACATATGTAGCTCCTATATATTCGGAAAATTATTTTACTGGATGAAATTTCCAATGTGGCACTATTTCTAGCTATCTATTATTATTGCTATCACTGTATTACACCCAAAGAGCAAGTGGAAAATGCAAGTTATAAATCTTGCAAAGTAAGATTAGTGGAAGAGCTAAGGCGATGTGGACATACAGAACAGGATTAACTTTACTCATATAGTATTAAGACTTTTGTGCCAGGTTTGCCTTTTTACATAAACTGATGAACTTGAAACATTAATAGAAAGGCACACTAATTGCTATACAGATTTCATTTACCGCAAAGAAAACGCACCCACACTGAGGTAGAACTGTTTCTAACCATGTGAAAAAAAGTTTTTAAGCACTTTCTTTTATTGGAAATAGTTTGTAGAACTCCTGTCCAGACACATTTCTCTGTATCCCACTTTAAAGAATACCTGAGGGACGCAAGCAATATCCTGTTCCAGTTATTAAACTTTTGACTTTGGGGTAAAATCCAGTCTTGACTAATAGGACTACTCGGGAATCATTGCAGAGATTTGTATGTGATAATGAGAAATAGAGGTGCAGTCCCAATTCATCCGGCCTTCTCACCTCTGGGTGTAACTTGTAATTACTCCTGTGGAGCTTTGGGGAGGTTGGCAGATTAAAAAGGAGTTGCCCTGAGGCTGACTGGCTGGCCAGTTAGTTAGTCAGGCAGCCACCGAGCCTCTCCTGAAGCGACACCAACTCCCTGGATGACAGGAATGTCAATGCACTTCTCAAGGTGACACCTGGCCGGACACATTCTTCGGTCTTGTGGTAAAATCACTCAAGAAATAAAGTACCTACAGTATATAACTGACACCAGTGTGTGTGAAAATAAGTTCAGAGATGAATCTTAATTAAAAGTTAAAACATATAATATGCAGGGGTGGAATGTAATTAAGTTAAGGACTATTTGGAGTATTTCTATTTTTGTTACTGTTACACCAGTGGCACCAGGGGTACTTGAGGGGGTTCCAGGGGGTCCCCAAAAAGAGGGGAATATTTTAATTTTCAATATTATTTTTAGAACCCGACCGATATGGGATTTTTGAGATTGATACAGATTTTAGAGAGGAAAAATTCCCAGATTACCAATAAAGTGGCCAAATAAATCGTTCCTGTGTGGTTTAAGCACCGATAAGACTATGCAAACGTACTCAGAAGGCTGCCTTCTTAAACAAATAAGTTTATCATTTAAGTTAAATATTCTTTAACATGTTAAATAATTTAACATATACATTGCCAACTGTTTTTAGTTGACATTGCTCAGAGCTGCTCTCTTACTCTTTGCTGCTTACCACAGTATTGTAAATAGCAATATGCTCTAGTGGATGAACTTTGCCGTGACACTAATATAATGTTATGAGCATTTTTTTTTCCTGCATAATAAACCAGAACAAATGTTTTCATAACGCTACATGTTGAATGACATAAATGCTGATACAGATACAATACCGATATGTCTGCAAGGGGCAAATATCAGCCAATAATATCGGCATATTGGTCTTATTATTTTATTTTCTAGAAGTGAGCCCAATGAGAGAATCTATATGAATGACTATTCTGTTCATGGCTTTCACACTCTTCACTGTTAATCTGTCTAAAATATAGACAGTTACGGAATAACTAAATTGTATCAGACGGGGATCCATGACACTACATCTTATCAAATATTTGTCTGTGGCCTGACACCAAAAAGGTTGAGAAACACTGCAGTACATCAAATATTGTACTTTATACTCCACTACGTTTAACTATTAGTGCACCTGTAACAATAAATAAACAGATGATACATACTATTACATAATTGTTATACATATTGCTAGACTTACTTACTTGTAGAGGGGTAGCTTTATAGTGTGGTACTGCTACCTAAGTAAAGGGTATCTGAACACTTCTTCCACCACAGATAATATGCGACATTTGTATCACATACAAAGAAACTGATGAGACAATACTGACAGGTGTTTTAATGGAAAATGAAGTTTAGAAATCTCAATAACTCAATACGATCTTCTATCTTAGAGGATGCTGTGCTCTGTCTGCAGGTTGGGAAAATGTTTAATGGCTAAACTGCCCACTTACTCTGTCCAACTGTAACTCAAGCCCCTGTCCAGACATTCACTATAGCAATTACTGTATTGAGCAGCTTTCAATCAGCCCTTAATTCACACCTTCAACTTGCAATCAATGTATACATTACACTGAAATTACACAGTAATAATCAGTGCGACTAATCAATAAACTATTGGGCAATAAAGCATTGGGCAATAAAGCTAGAGAGATAGAGTTGATAGGTCTTTGTACAAGGCTAGTGTGCCCTCCAGTGGTGTAAAAAGGCAACTTTACCGATCCGTGTACATGTTAAAATGTAAAATGTAGAAATTTATTCCAGCATTCCAATGAACCAATGAATCTTACAGACAAATAATCACATCCAGATGTCGAGATGTAAGCCAGTATGTGTTTGCTGTGTGTGTGTATTGCCTGGGACGTCAGTGTTGCTATAACTGGGAGGGGAAGAGAGGAGAGCTGAACGATTAGAGTCGTGTTTTAAGAAGGGGCCAGGAATGGTTCACAGGAGTTGGCAGTGTGAGTAATGGTAGCAGAGTCCTGCACCGGGGCTTTCATGAGGTACTTACTCCTCCACCCTCCCACCTCCTCTGCAGCACTAAAAGCTATAGATCATATATTTCAGCACTGCTACTACACTTACTGCCCTTCATCGTCTGATTGGTCCACATCATTAACTGGAAGATTAAAATGCTATTAAGAGGTGGCAAGGAGGTAGAAGATAACATAGATGCTTTGCTAAAATTTATTTCCACTCACTTGACTCTGCTATACCTTCTTTATCTTTATCAACAATCAGGCTTAACAGTTTTTTCTTTTAACCTGTGAAGACAGTGAATGGGCTTAAAGGGCAGGGTCTTTTGGTGTAAATACAGTGATATGACTACATTTTGTGCTGGATGAACATGATTTTTAATTCCTTATGATGCTGGTAACAATTACTATGTGTATACTAAATGATGAATTATCTGAGACATAGATATTCTTATGAATTCATAGGGTTTCAAAACCAAGCCAACTGAATGTTATCAGTGGACTTTTTCTACCTATTCCAGATGACGGCAGGTCACTCGTTGGTACGACTATAAGAGCTGCAAACCCAACGTATACTCAACCTTTCATGAAATGAGACTTCCAAAGGTGTTAAAGATAATTCATGGTTGCATTGAAAGCTTGAAAATATAGAAACTCAACATATTTAACAAATAAATATCAGTTTACTAGTCATGGCAGGTATTACACAGCCTTTTAAAACAGTTGTATAATGTGCTCTGTGGCTCTAGAGGAGAACCCCAGTTATATCATCAGGGTTATCACAGCTTGGGTTTGGAGACTATACATTTTAAAAGCCTGCATTACAAAGTGGGGCTATTTGAAAGATATGGGTATTTACCATTTATGGAGAGGGGTAATAAAGAGATGCTACTGAGCTGCATTATGTGAATTGTAGTTTCTAGCATTTTTTTAAAAAATAAAGCCATATCAGAGAATAAATAAGTAACTTGTGCTTTGTGGCATCCAGTTTGAGGATTAGTTGGGTTTTGTCTGTTTTTTTAAACTATGACTCTTGAAAGAGTACTGCAGCCTGGACTGAGACAGATACAAACACATATACATAGGCATACACACACGCTGACAGTGCCCTCTGCAGGGGAAACAGGAAAATGGCACGGTGAGCAGTAGTTTACACACACTCAATTTGAGTGCAGTGCAACTGTAAACTGCAAACTGTATGTTTCCTGAATATTTCAGTCAATAATAACAGAGAGAAAGGTCAGACCAGAAAAAACAAATTAACAGTATAAATTTAATAATTGACCCTTTTATAGAGGTTACATCACCAGTACCGGGCAAACAATTTGCACAACTTGAAGAAGTATGATGTTTATTACTTTTATTTACTTACAGACGTTCCTATGGAAGGTTGACAAAACTCAAATGTAAAAATTTCAATATCCCTACTTGCCAAATACTTTATCGGCATTAAATAATTTAAATACACACAATGTAGAAGTAGTAAATTAATTTAAACCCAATGAAAGAAGACAGCAAAGATAAGCATGCAGATATTTTACTTACAAGTAGTCATATTTAAATGTGCAAATCATGACCCTCACCATTTTACTTCTGCATAACACCCCCTGTAGTATAAATACAACACTTAGTATTTAATTAAATCTTAACCAAAACCTAAAAATGTGTTTTCTTCATTGATCCTCTAAGGCAGTGTTACCCTGGTTGCCACGTTAAGCAAGATAATATTAACATTGATTTACAGACTGAGGTGAGACGTTGACAGCAAAAGGCACTAATAAAGAACCATTTTATTTTGATTGTGGATTGGACTTTATTTTACATCTTACAGTATAATAGAGAATCGACATCAGTGTGAAATGAGCATTGTTGGAGCATGTAGTGAGACTCAAAATCAAACAGAGAAAATTACCCATTAGACACTTTAAGCTTTAGGCAGCTTATTGTTTATGAGCAGAGAAAATCCAGGTGAGTAAAACACGCAAATGCAATAACAGTGATAAAGAACACCCAACAAAATAAATGTACAACTTCTGATTCCATTGTTTGATGGAACTGTTAAAGCTGGTTATAAAAAGGACACTATTTAAACATCCAAAGTGTTAAAGAGAGAAATACAAGCACAATAACAGTTAGGCAACTGGAACGTTTCAGTATGAACTCAACAGTGCTGTGCAAGATAAGGTTGTCGGTGCATTGAAACATTGTGAATTATAAAATTCAAAATATAAAAAAAAAATCAAATACATCTTGATTGTGAGGGTGAGGAAGCCAAAGTTACAGTCAGTGTGAGAGCAATGACACAAAAAAATACACCACTGCACACTGCTGCTGCGGCTGCTATTTGAGACATTTTGTATTTTATCGATCCGAATAGACACCATTAGAATGACCAACCCAAATTCTACAAAAAACAGAGTAAAACTACTTAAGTTGAAATACAGCCAGAAATCAATTTAAAACATCCTATGTTCACGGGACAAATTAGCTCTACAGACATTAAGATAATAGTACTAGAAGAATTACATGTTTTGCTTTTACAATGCAGAAGCTGGTTTAATGAAATGCCACCCACTCTTAAACTTAAAAAGCTTATTTTCTAAAGAGTTCTTTAAGTACACTTCCAAACATGTTGGCAACTGTATTCAATGTCGTTTTGGTTGTTTTAAATGGTCTAACAGTTATGAAACACTATTTTGAAAACATTTTGACTAATACTGTTATGATACATTTTTGAAATGATGGACAGAACAGATTGAAAGACTGCAATGTCCAGGAGTCCAAGGAGAGAAGGAAATGATAAATGAAAAATAAATATTTGGATGTTTTGATGTTCAGGGGTGTAGTTATTGTTGTTTTCTCCACAGATGTGATTATTTTCATTTCCCATCCTTTTTCCCCAAATGCATTCCCAAAATAGTTATCTGGGTACAACCTAATAAATATCAGGTAAGAAAAACATCAAGGCTATCTTCAGGTATGCATGTGTGCATATATTCGTGATGAGAGAGTCTGTCAGTATTACATCAGACTGCATAATCACTGCAGTGCTCATGAAAAACAATTAATAACCAGTGAGACAATCTGTTCCTTGTCTTGGAGTGACTGCTGATAATGATTTGTCAGCTGTGTGCACACTCACATTGATGTCTGAGCATATGAAGAGGGGAAGTGTTTTGAGTGACCGTGGTTATCAAATACAGTCATGGCTGTGGCGTGTAACTTTTTTTGGCAAACAGAAGCATGAAACACTCTGCTGACAGTCTGCTGTAGCGTTGTTTACCTCCTCTCTTCTTCCCCCCCTGCTCGATGTCTAACCATCAGAGAACGCACCAGAATACAATAACCAAAAATCGTTAAAATGTTAACATTGTTAACAAATAGTAATCATATTAAAAACTTTTAAAAATAATAAAATCTGGAATCCTTCTCCTGTACAGCGACTGGTGATTGTTGATCCCCACCCCCCAGTTGGTTTTGGCAGTGGTCTAACACTTGTGCTTCATGGCAAGCTGTAAAAAAATTGGGGTGGGGGTTGTGGATAATACAGTGAGAATTACAAATGACCCTATCAGCAAAATGTAACACATTCTGTCTTCAATAAAATGCAATAACAAGCGCAGTGAGTGAAATTTAGAACTGCTACACAAAAGGAGAAAAAGCAGTTAGGAAAGGGAAGATTTAGTATATAGGTGCTGGAAGGCAGCCAAGGTTCCTGGTGTTTTTTATTCAGGCAATGACAAGGCAACTTCATTTATCTCATTAACAAGGGTTCTAATGGGCTTGTCTGGAGGCTCATTAGAAATATGACCAGGGCCACCAATCTAATACATGGGGTACAGAGACGTGAGGATGGAAGATGCGCACGCACACACACACACACAGACTAAGTATGGAATATGTTGCCATAGAATAAGGAAAACTGAGTTCTACAGACAGAACAAGTGGGGGCAGTAGAGCATCATGCAGAAATGAGGGGTTTTGACTAAAACTGAGCAGTGCGGCTAAATCGGCTGCTGTCACAAAGTGAGGCACGGAAATGGGATTCCAGGAGTCAACTAAGAGAAAAAAAAAAGAGTCAAGGTGACTCTCTCACAGTATGACAGTTGGCTATAATTTGAAGATACATGCAGATCACTTGAAAGTAGGGAAACTCACATCCTTCACAATACAGCCTGTAAGCCATCATCAAAAGTCACCCTCATACAGAAACGAAACTGATAAAAAAAGCAAACGGGCTACCAACTGCCTTTAAAAGAGAGCTTGAGACATGCAACATTATGATGAGTCTTGATAAAAACGTGCAAGACAAATGACAAGTTATGAAACGAATAATATAAAGGCTAATGGCAGCAAGCGAAATGAGAAATGCCTGCAAATGAGTGATTATTCGTGGGGGTTCTACAGTCATTCTCTCCTGAAAACACCAGAGCCGAGGCCTTTTTCTATGCTTATCAGTTTTTTGTTATCATCACGGTGGGGAAGCTCATCTGTGAGCGGTGAGAGGGCCATGCAAGGCTCTTTGAAATGTCTTTCAATTATCCCACCATCACTAGTATGCATCGCTCTTAGATGGCACATGTCTATCAGCGCACTAACAGTCTACTAACCCTAATTTTACACAAGAACCAAAGTTGCAAACCCAGGCATGTGTGATATACTGTGTGCTATTAAAAAGACAGTTATGATGATCATAATCAGGTGCGCTTGTAACAAAGAAATCGATTTTTTTCTTGTGTTTCGCAGTAAAAAAAATCATATTATGCTAATAGCCTCATTAAACAGCATGCAATTAGTTTTCCTGACAAACAAGAGATATGGGATGGATGGAGGATGAGGGAACACCCCATAGAGAACTACAAAAGAGAAAGTAAATGAGGGAAGAAGAAAAAAAGCGATTATCTTCGCAAAGCAGAGAGCACCACGGCTAAGAGGCTGGAGCTACAATGAAACAACTCTTACAAATATCCTCAGGTTTAAGTAAAATGTTTGATCTTTTGGCTGCACCAATAATGACTTTAAAACCATGACTAGATATTCTACAACAAGAGGTGGGATTCGATGTCAGAATGTCAATGGCAGTGTATTAAAATGTATACACTAAACCCATCCGGAGGTTATGCGTTGTAATATATCTTGCTAACATATTGCCTCACCTTGTGTGCAGTGACAGCGAACTGTTCGGCACTGTTCCTCATGTCTGCAGTCCTCTCTTCGGCTCGACCTAATCGCTCGCCGCGCTCATTCAGAGCCTGGCTGGCCTTCTGTACAGCACTCGTCACACTGTCTGCAGCTGAGTGTAGAATACTGTTACCTGCAGATAAAGCAGGGAGTGAAGAAGCGAGGCAGAGCAAAGAGAAGCAGAGAAGAGAAGTAGGACACAGAGAGAGGAGAGAAAAGACAAAAGGGGAAATAAATTGTGATTCTTATGGTGGACAACAGAGTGTGGGAGACTAGCAGTGACAAATGAACCTGTGACATTAGATAGGTGTAGTTTAATCAGTGACACTGAGCGTTAGTGTTAATGGTGGATGACAAAATCATGAAAAAGTAAATGGCCTCCATCAGGTGCATCGTGGGAAGGTGGATAATGAGTTTTCTTCAAAGCTGATTTACTTCAAGGTAAGATCAAGTGAAATTAACCTTTTCAAACTTCAAAAGTATGCAACGGCAACAAATTTAAGTTCAACAACCGATTTCATGTCTCTTTTTAAGGAGGCATGTGATTCCTGGTGACATTCAGCGCTACTTTTCTTCAGTTTTGAACTTGTGCTGCGAGCTGTGCGATTACTCTCTACTGAACTATAGCGTAATAAAGAGAGGATATGTGCTTGGTTGAATGGGCAGCCCTGGAGACCCAGTAGTGGATACAAGACAGAGAACACATCTTCCGATAGCCGTGGCAGCACTACGGATGTTTCCTCTGACAAGTCATTAATCTAAAGCACGTTGGGAGTGCTGCTGTTCTGCACTACGCTAGCAACCAGACTAGCGGCAGAAATTTTCCTGCTGTCTTCTCTTTGTCGGCAATACAGTTGCATTGTTCCAATCATTAGTCATTTTATGTAGATGTATCTGATGGCAGCATGCCAGTTTGGGAAAAAAAATCTGCATTGTTTTTGTTGTCGCCAGTTACTTTTCTTTGGTTCCCCAAAAAGAGTCAAAGGATGCTCTCAGTCTGTGGTGGCAAGATCCTGACAAGTCATTTTAATTACAACACCAGAGTGGCACCACAGGCTTCACAAGGTGACAAAAAGACAAATTGAGGAGGACTAGGAGCACAGAATTTTGCATTGAGCAATATATATTTCTGGGATATACAATTACAAAGCATACAATTAAATTATACTAAATAATCCACAACTACACTGTCTACTCCTGTGCCTAACTTTAAAATGTGGGCAAGTGAACAATAAAGAAAAACACACCAAACACCCAGAGAAAAGATAAGCTAGATGAAATTGTCCAAGGTTTATATCCTCAGATATACAGTAAATGAGTTTGACGGGAAGAAACAGGCCGAGCAAAGCTCGAAGGTACTAACTGTATTAAGGCTTGACAAGCTTGATTCTATCTACTCCCGCAGGAAACTGCAATATAGTGAGTGTATGTCTCGAGGCTTTAAGGCACGTAGGCTGAGTGACAGATAATTGGGACAGTTCTACTGCAGTGGGTTATATGACAGCCCAAAAGCAGACGGCGAGGCCAGCTGGTGTTCCTTCAAAAGAAGTAAACTTGATAGATTCAAAACAGTTTGTGTAGAGACACGCCCGGGGACACACACAGACGGATGTATAGATGTTCATACCCACACCTACGCACACAAAAGGAAATGGAAACACATGCATAAACACAAGACCTTCCTTTTCCAGAGATTACAGTAAATGGACAACAGACTGCAGGCCACATTGCACATGACAAACATATCTGGACCAGCGATGAAATAAGCTTCATACCTGTCCTGGGACTCCTTTTTCAAGTTTGAATATTAGAATGTGTCTGTTTGCTAATGGCTACAGGGTTCCTAGTTAAAAAGGAAAGTTTATGTGTAATTCTTTTACACTGCAAATGTAGATTCTGGTTTACAAAAAAAACACATTTCTGCTGCTGCTACTGCTTCCATTTGAAAAAAAAGAAGAGGAGAAGCTTCACTATAAAAGGATAAGACCTTTTCACCTTCAGACAGATTCCTCCTAATCCTCTCCTTCTGCAGAGGAACCCGGGGAGTAATACTCCCATCATCCTCAATATAACCCCCACCCTTAAAACCCCTACACACCATGCACTCAGACAACATCGCCCTTTATTTGTCTGCACACGATTTTCCTTTACTCTGGTGCCTTTTTCTTTCTCCATTTTCAGAGATCAGTGGCAGGCTGCAGCGTGGGCTCCCCCAGTGGAGAATGTAATTACAGAGAAGGCAGGGTGGAGACATTCTGGAGAGGTTATGAAGGGGCCGCAGAATCAGGAGCTGAATGAAACGTGTAGGAGTAGATTATGTTATGTGGTGCTATCGCTGTGATCTTAACCTAAAGTGGGAGCTGACCAGCCATCAAAGTTATCAGTGGGGATAACAGCGGCTCTTTCATCTTACTGAGGAGGTTCACTGGTATTAATAGTTTGTATTTTATTGATACAAATGTTGCACTGGTAACTCTAAAAGAGGAGCTTTTCTTGTGAAGATTTTGTCAGCTTGCATTGTTGAAAATTACCCACTGTACAAGGCCAAACCTAGAACATCCATGACACGCCTCTCTCAACAATGCAGGAAGAATTTTGTTGCTATATCCCATAATATCATAATAAGCCAGGGTTTGTTAAACAATTGAGATGGAACAAAAAGGAAAATTGTTTCTGGCAATATAAATATTCTAGAAAATACGAACTATGAGCAAATATGAACATAACAAGGAAGTGCAAAGATTCGAAGAAAGATACAGCTCTGCTGTAAGCTGTAGATTACAGACTGCACTGCGGTGGTGCTAAAGAAAATAAGCTGATGGTTATCAACAGGAGCATGTCAGATATACTCCACAAGACGCTGACAGCTAAGTCACGTTTACTCTCTAAGCATATGGGAATGATTAGATTGGATGGATCACTTCAAGAACAAAATACACCTACAAAAAAAGATCCATTCAAACAAGGCATGCTACAGTGCCTTCAGTATTTTCACTCTGGTAACGCACGTGATCTCTGCGCTAGGATAATGCTGCGGGGTATAATATGCGTGGGTGTTTCAAGGGAGTGAGTGTCTTACGATAATTTCTTTTAAGTACATAGGGAGCACATACTTATCTGCAACAACTACCATCAAAAATTCTCCTTATTATCCAGAAATTACCAGAGGGCTTTAGGTTGCGATTATTCATGCAAGAAACATATGAAACACTGTCAAGGATTTCTGTAAGTAATCCCAAACCTATTCATAGCTGCACCTACATATTCAGATCCTCTTGACACTGAAGTACCCAGTAATTGCTGTTATTTTCAACTTATTATTGAGACAAAAAATATTAAAAACCTCTCATCACCTATTTTACTGTAGATGTATGTAGGACATAGAGGACATACAACATGAATATACAACTACGTCAAATTTGGCTTTCTGAATGTGTTAAAATTATTAAAATGTTTGCAACCTAATTCAACAAAATCCCTTTTCCTTCTTCTAGAATTTATCACTGAGTAGAAGACCGGCAGCCAAAAAAGTAAACAAGGAAGTGTCTGAGGAAGGCTCAACAACATCAAATATGTTTCCGTATTATAACTGCATTTCTGTGATAAATTCCACCCTAACCACAACTGCATTTATAATTAGAGTGTTACTGTGATAAAATAATTTATTTTCAAATTCAACACATGGAAGTTTCTTTGCTCTATGTGTGTGACAGCAGCACTCTCTGAGAAAGGGCTGTATAAAGCTTTCAAGTTAATAGGTAAATAATTTAAAACACAATAAACTAGCATGAAGGCCAAGGCTGGAAACAAGAAAAGCATTTCTCCCTAAATGCTTCCGTGGTCTGCTATTTTGTTTTCCTATGGAACAAGATTAAAACAGGGCGAATAAAAAAAGTTAAGATGTTTTTCATGCTTCTCATTTATAGTTTATTTTTGAACAAGTTACTTTATTTATAGTTCGAAGTTTCATATATATTGAAAACTAGCAAGGCAGGACAATTTCAAATGGATTATGCATAAAGGAATGAGAAAATGAGAAAAGATTCAACAAGAAATGTCTAATGTTATTGACCTCATAGGGGCCTAAAGACACAGTTATGCAGCTCCTGCTGCAAGATAAACTCCTGTTGCAGTTTAATTAATGCAAATCTTGACATTATCCGCAGCAGCAAAATGAAACTATAGCAGAGGTTCAACCAGGAAGGGCACCTCCCCCCCGGCACTCCTGACTTACACATTATTTCTATACAGCCTTTAATCCAATCACTTTTCTCCACATTCTACCTGCAGTTATTCCCTAAACAGTTCATTCTTTCTTTTAAAGGTAACTCCCAAACCTTTTATACAGGGCAGTTCTCCCTTTTTCTATGTTCTTCCTAAATCATACAGCCATCTGTACATTTCTTTTTTTCTTGATACCACTCCCTCCATATGAAATATATACTGTATATAATATATAAACCCTACTATATAGGCCTATCATTATATCACAGTCTTTTGACCAACACAGTGTTGCTCCTCCACCTGCCCACCACCACTAGCCAAGACCTCGACTTTCTTAGCATCAGTAGTCACAGACTGAATCTTCATTTGGAACCTACATAAACTCAACTGCACTATTACTTAATTTTTAATGTAAAATTTGTAATCCACTGCTGAGGTTTACAACAAATTATCCTATTATAAACAGTTAATTAAGTAATTCATCTGTATTATTGTGCTGGTCCCTCCTGCTTGATCTACATTTGACTCCCTCTTAACATATGTGTGCATCCTACAGATACTCACATTTACTCTGGAGTGAGGTGGATGTGCCTGAATGACTCGGTCAACCCCTCTGTTAACTGCTCAGAGAAAAACAGGAGATTGTTCTGCCCTTGACATTTTTTCATGAAGGGAAAGTCTTGACCTTGCTTGCTCAGTCGGCCTTTAGTTTTAGTGACAGTGCCTTTTGAGGCAGCATGACAAAGGACACCAATGAGGACAAACATGCACGTCCTGTCCTGAATGTACCACAGAGTTGTGCCGGCACTGACAGAAAAATAGCTACTAGGTATTCATGAACAGCCTATTCTCAGTGGCTTTAATCAGCAGATAAATGTCAGCATCACACAACGCATTAAACAGCCATAATTTCCCATCATTATAATCTTGACTCAGCTTAAATGTTAATTTGTGAAATGCTACACAGAAGTACAGAATACTGAGGAATACATTAGGGAGGAAGCACTCAATCACTGTACTGCCCTTGTATGTCAAAGTGCGATTTACCTCTGCACAGTTTTAGTCAGTGACTCTGTACACACAGACTGACAGTGAGGGGCAAGGACAGTGAACATAACTTGCATAACCTTTGGACCTTTGGAACTTAAAATCCCTTTCAGCATGTACTCCAACTCCACACAGTGACAACACAAACCAGGGGAATCTTTTTTTAACTTTGTGCTTACTGGGAGCATAGAGAGGAAAGCTCTGTTTGTAAATTGTAACTACAGTACAGCCCTAATAATGACAACACAGGTCACTGAAGTCCCAGAGCACCAGGAGCAGAGCCATCAGCTCAAAAAGCAGGCGACAGGTTTGATTCTAAACTTTTTTTAAATCCCACTGTGCAGAATGACCCCATTTACTGTGGTCACATCTTGTTAAGTGCATCTACTGTAAAAGTACTGCTTTCAGCATTAAATTAAGGCTTTTTTAGAAGTTGTTTGCTCTTGGTACTGGTCAAATGTTCAGAGGAGCATATCTCTGATCTTCCATTTGCTTGCCATGCATGCAACAGTTCAAATGAAGTATTTCTGCTAGATAATCTCTTATCCAACCTGACTACTAATTGGAAATCATCACTTGTTAGTAAGGAAAGTACTAATTTAACTTAGTCCAAAGAAACTTTGATTTCTGGGTCAAGTCAACACTATTTAGTAGGGGATTGAACTTTTTACATTTAGTCCAAGTAGTTTTGTATACTGAACCACCAGCTTACCTTGTCTTAGTAGATGACTGTGGTGTGCAACAAATTCTTTCTTCATTCTGTTCAAATAGACCTTGCAACGGAAAATGACTGAATCTACAGCTTGGTCTTCTGTGATGAGAAAATATCAAAAGTTAACTTTGATGTTCAAACATGATTGAGTTTTAAATTAGTCAGGACTGGTTACTGGTTTCAGATTATTATATCATGTGTTAAGTGTTGAGGGGTTCAGGTCTTTATAAATGTCAGGCGAAAAACTGTAAAACTGGTTACTGTTAAATTATTCATCCATCCAGTGATTGCAACCCTCACACAGAGCATTTAGTGTAAACTGCAGGCAGACAAGCTCGTCTAATGCTGAGGGTTTAAAAGCACTTAAGGCTCATTTAACATTTCGTTTAGAAGCACGTCATGAATACATCCCAGTGAGATAGAAAAGCTCAGGTGGGAATTGGGGTATAACAGGGTATATAACAAGTGTGGCCAGCAGCCCAAGTCGGAATTGATAACAAGGCAATTAGCTGCTTTTATTTCTAGACCAATTACATGCCCCATCAAGGATCAAAAACACACGCCTGTAAAAGTCTACAGCATCAGTTCACCTACTGTTTCACTTAGAAAACTCTTTTTAAAAAGGAATAAATTACTAGATCAGAAAGCACATGGATATGGAGCCCATAGTGCAAGATATTAAAAAGTATCATTGCTGAATTGAATTTCAATCTAGAGTTTTATTTAAATTGTTTTGCATCAAAACATCAACTCCTCCAATAACTCCAATTACAATATGAGCGAGCCGCGATGATACAGCTTGATGATTAAATGTAAACAATATTACCTCACAGATGCAATGCATGGATAACTGTCTGCAGTCTAGTATCATTTTAAACTAAAGATTGTCAGAATCTCTTGAAGTAACCTTATCAGCATGTGGAAACAATGCAAATTAAGCTCAGGTAAAGAATAGAGCTGCTGGCATTCACAGACCACTGACTACACTGTCATCAATACACACATGGGGAAACCTAACAACAACCCCAGAGATCTGTGACTTTGATTATGTGAAATAACTTTTGTGTTTTCTGGGGGCTGCCATCCCAGGGGATTCTGCAGATAGAGTCTCCCACAGTTATGGTCCCACACCTGAGCAGCGTCATGATTTTTGTTTTGCACTGGTGTGAGACTTAAACTGGAGTGGACAGAGTTTGGCAGCAGGCTGGCATCCCCTAGTTCCTCCTGCCACAATGTGCTTGGTTTTTCCATCTATCAAACACAGCATCCCTACTCACTGAGAGCCAGGAGTTCATTATCAGATCATTTGGCCAGATAGACTTGCTTTACTTGACCAGCTATTGACAGCATGGTGTCAATAGCTGGATCAATACTGTAGCTGTTTATACGAAACCACAGGTTTGGCTATTGAAAGTATATTTTAAATAGGACATGTTTCTGAGGGTTTTTTATCAAGATGTCTTAACTTCATCCACGGTTTCTTAGATGCAGTTAAAACAATGTTACAGGGCTACTAAGTGTAATATTCATATCTACTGGAGGTGTGTGATTGATATGAAACACTTGACATTCCATAATCCATCCTACTCTAAAAACCCTCTTTGGGGCACTACTACCTTCCCACCTACACATACAGAGATTATAGTATGCACCAGGGTCAGTTTAACAAAGTTAAATATGGACATGGTTTCCAGAGTAGGAGGGAGGTCAAGGCAACATAACAGATTTTTGAAGAGAACAGGAATCATCAATGAGTGTTCTCACACACAGAGTAAGAAAAAAAGACATCTGACAGTATATATATATATATAGTGTCTTTATGCATAGATTTCATAGTCTCACCTTTCTGCAATACACTATATGGTTAATAATACTTCCTAAAGCTGCAGCTTTCCCCAGAAATCCCCTAAAGTCTTCATTTTCTTTTGTATCATGAATTACAGCTTTTATAAAGCACGTTGCAAAGAAACTCTTTGTAACTCGTTGTCATTAGTCATTCTGTGACTTACTCACAGTAAGATTTGTAGTGCAACAGTTTAAAAAAAACTTCCAACCGTTTATTTATTTATTTTTTTTTTTAAATATGTATTTCTGGTAATTGATTCTTGTATATGTGGGGCACAGAGGCAACCTGCGGAGGCGGGATCGGGATGTGTTTCCATAAATAATACCATGAATAATACAACAGGTTGAATGTTGCTCAAAGATGAAGCTTGGGGGTAAACAGATCAATATCTGCTTAAACCACTCAGGACGCCGCATTCTCTACTGGGTTTCACTGCAGAGGAAACCATCAACCCACACCAGAACTCTTCACCTCCTGGGTAATAAACACACAATTTGCAGCCAGGACACGACCAATTATGTGGTTTTATATTTCCATTTTACATGTCTAATACATTTGGGAATTGGTTATGCTTTGACTTGTTTGATCAGCCTGTCTTCACTTATTAGTTGGGTATGAAATTAATATTATTTTCAAAGGGAAAGGTTAGCTTTCAACTGACTTTCCACAGTCTCACAGATTTACCATCAGTGTCGATAATTAAGGGACCGTTACAGCTCTTACTGTGATGTTTAATGTTATTATGAAGGGTGGAAACCAATTGAAAATAATGAGTCTCACGCTCCAGGCACACAATTAAATGTGTCAACATCACATAAATAAGGGAAACAATATTATTTAGTGTTGTATTGAGTATTTCTATGTGCTTTAAACCAGTTGATCTGTGTCAGATGTTTTGAGTCACAGCAGATGCATTTTGTTGGACATCCTCATTGACCTCACTTCAGCAGAGCGCTCAACAGACGCTGTGTACGAGGAATAAACATGCATTTTCATACACACCAGGTGCTGGTTGTCATCATACATAATTAGATTCAGACTGGCTTACAGCACAGTATGAAAGCAGCGAGGCTGGCACTGCAGAGCCACTGTGCCATGAACAGCAATATTAACAAAGGACAGTTAGCAGTGTTTGTTTTTCAACCGTCTTACCCCCTAGCAGTTTAGACTGACAGTTGACGAACTCTGGTTTCCGTGCTAAGCTGTAGCGCTGGCAGGTGTGGTGAAGAATTTGGATGAAGGTGCACTTCTCTCCTGCTGAACCAGCGACCCACTGGTCAAAAGCATTTTCGAACATCAGGTCAAACTCTGGACAGTCCTTAGAGAGAATTCCAATAAGAGCGAGACATGAGTGAGAGGTGAGTGCATGTAGTCAATCATCTGCAATTACTCATCTTCACACATAGATTTCCCCTGCCAATATTAACTAATTAAATAGCAATTAATAGTGTTTCAAGGGGACTAGAAATTACATACTTTGTTAGAGTCAATGCCGTTGACCTGCCGTAGCTGGTCAATTGTCCACTGTGACCTTTTTATGAAGGAAGAAGATCCTTGGAACTGCTTCACCTTAGTGATGGATAGAGAGGTTGGTTTCTTATTCGTCACTGTGGAAACAATAACAATAAAACATACTAGATAAGATGGTTGCAACAATTATTAACCAACATTAATTCCAGAACATGACCTTGCTGTATAACTTGTAGCTTCTATGTACATATGCTGTAATAAGATAAATACACAATTCAGGTCACAAAATTAGAAATATTAGAGTCAAGCAGGAGAAGTAAGAAGCTTACTTTTGTGGGCGGCAGGAAAAAAGGGATCCAATAACAATGAACATTTCACATTTGGAGCCAAAAGCAACAGAGACCACGATAAAATGTCTTATGAGAAGACAGTCTAACCATGAACAGACAAACATGGATTTGGCTTGTATATTTAACCTGCCAAATTGTGTGCAATAATCTTATATACAGAATACTGTGCAATGAATTTCTGCTGTGTTCCAGCTACACAAAGACACTTTTTCCATACTACTGGTTTGAACATAAACACTTTGTTATATTGTTCTTGTCAAAGTATAAATTGCTGAATATGTTTTACACTGTGCTGGACACTCACAACACTCACTCCTGACAAAAGTGATGTATTTCCTTCCACTGCACTGCTGACTAAATCTAAGCGGGTAACAAATTACCCTACAGACATGGAGGTATTGCCTTTTAAAGAACTCATAAGAGAAAAAATGGAAATTATATATTAATTATATATTATATATATATATATAAACCGACAAAGCATGACTTTGTGCTTCCATAACTGGTATTAGGTATTGCAGAGATTCATCAGTTGGTGCAATAAAAGTCATGCTTGGTTGGTACATAATGTTTGTACAATCCAGACCTCACTATAACTTATCACCTCCTGTCCAATGCCATCATAATTTTGTCCTCAGCTTGGCCCCACTTGCCTCAGCATTACAGTACCACCACCACATGTTTACGGATCATCATGTGTCTGGACTGCTGGACTTAGTACTACTCAGGGGTAAACATGCTCCAGTGTTGCTTTTTTAACCCCGGCAGCAAACCTCTGCTTCCGCCCTCTCACATTTGCCATTGTGTCATCTTGGAAAGAGGAAAGCGTTCGGGTCACTGTCACTGCCGTTGCTCTTTACTCGGATTCTCAGCTCTCCCAAAACCTCTAGCATCCCTGCTGGTTGCTGCATTACATTTTGCCTTTGGTTCAGGTTTGTTTTGTGAAAGATCTACCACACCTTTCTCTGGGAATGATTTTAGGTAGGGCTGAATGTTACATCAGGTGATACATTCAGTAAGCAAACTCCCCAGAGAGGATATGTTTTGTGTGTATCCATTTAGACAGCTGCAGCTAATACTTGAGGTGACGACCTGAGATTGCAGGGTGGACCAGACAGACAGAGGCAGACAGATACAATATAGAAAGACCTGCTGTCATTTCTCTCTAATCTTTTCTTTGAGAATTCATTTTTATTCAGACAGACACAACCATGACAAAAAGATGAAGTGATTGATCAGATCTGTTTTGGGTCACCCAGAAGGCGAATAGAAGCTCCAGAAACAAGAAAATGTCATAAAGACGACGACAGCTGGATGTAATGAACCAGTGTGTGGAAGGGTAGGAGTCTAAAAACTCAGGTCATCCAATTCGCTACAAGAATAATGTCTCTGAGCTCAGGCTGAGGCAGATGATAGACTATAGCACAGAACCACCACTTCCCCCAAACTGAGAAATGGGGTTTTATTGCTCTCACTTGTTAAGTGCAGGATTCAAGTAGTCTCTCTTAGAAACAAGCCTTGCCTCCATCTTACAGTATGGGGCTCAAAAAATCTGACGATAATTTTCACCTAGTCTTTAAAATGTCCCAAAAAAGCAGGAAATCCACATCAAAAGTCCCCAGAGGCAAGATTACCTTTTCGAATTGCTTGTTTTGTCAGACAAACGGTCCAAAACCCAGAGACATTGTTTTCATATTGCTACTAAACAGAGGAAAGCAGGATGCGCTCAGATTTATGTAGCTATAACCATTGAATGTTTGGCATTTCTATATAATAAATTCGCTGTTTCAGCACAGCCATATGTGAAAGTGTGATCTGCCTTCCAATCAAACAGAATATGTCTGGCTGTACACTAGCTCAAACTATGTATGCTTATCACAAAATGTACTGACTCAAAGCAAAACAACCAGGGGAATGCAACATGCTGAAAATACAGTAACAGTAGTTTTACAATATACTGTAGCAACCATTCATGTCACGGCCCAATGGTTGTACATTTTTGTGCCTACAGCATACTCTACAACATAACAGATGAGAAAAACTATTATGATTCTGAATGAGAGCAACCCCTGAGCCTGGCTTTGACTGAAATATTTCTGCATCTTTGTGGTGAGGCTGCTTTAAAAACAATCACACTGACTCCAGGATTAGAATAACAGTTGCATAATACTGGAGAAAAACACACTAAATGATCTGTTGCACACATGAGGAGAAAAATTTAGTGCATGCTCATGGGAGCGCAGTTTGGCTATTTAGTTTCTTCTTTTTTCATATATATTACACTGAGACCCGACTAAGGAAATGCATCACTGAATATGTGAAAGAGACCTGTCATCTCAAGGCCATGGAGCTAAATTGTCAATATATCAACACCGAGGTCTTAATCAAACTGCCAGACACCTTTGAGCCTCTCAAATCAATTTCATATTCAGCTGTTGACTCCCACCTTGTCTGAGTTGCTCCCCTGCATATTAAACAATTGCTGAAAGTTAGAAGAGCTGGTTTTATTGAAACAGTAATCAAGAGGAAGACTGTGAGAAAATGTATACTCAAGCCCTTCTATTAAAATGAAACCTCATGTTGCTCTCGTGATAAATTCAACCACTGAATGATGCTGCGAGGGTAGAGAGAAAAAAAATAGTAGTAATTCTCAAACAAAATATTGACAGAGGCAAACTGGGATATAACTGATCATGGAAGGAAGTAAGGTATCTGTTTGGCATCATAAGGCTTGTTGACATTAGAACTCATTTTATGAGAGCTTCTCTTTTAAATTGTATCCTGTAACACTGTTCATCTAAACTACTATCAGTCAAGACAACACCCCGACCACCACTCTTGTGATATGACATGTATAATTTTAATACAAGTGGTCACAATGCGGATCAATTTGTGTGTAGAGATTGAGATTCGCAAGCCAAAGTGTGATCTAAAGACACCTTTTCCCTTTCTGTACATGAACTGGATCAAATATGAAAGTAATGTAACACGCTTCCCTGACATGCTTCACTCGAAACAAAGATAATAATCGCACCCTGAACACAATGTTACACCACAATAAACTTTATGAGTATGAGCAAACATCACTTGGCTACACGGCCCGTACATCTAGAAACAAGGAAGGACTACAACTACAGTACTTAGAGGCTGCCAAAGCCATTGTTTCCATGAGGGCTGTCAGAGGAAGGCCATGCTGGGGTTCCTGCCCTGCTCCTTTCTCATGCTCTGATGGTGACATGCTCTCACTTCCTCCAGTGGATCAGTCCCTTGTTGTGCTTGGCTATGCGTGAGTGCTGCGGCCTGGAGGGAAACTCGTACTGTACCATTCACAGACTGCGAACATCACAGAGGAAACGTTCTCAGGATCAGCTTTCGCTCAAGGAAATATTATCATAGCTGTGGCTGTTAAGAGAGAAATGTGAGCACAAGGAGGAGTTCTAACAAAAGCAGTAATGACAAGAATGACCATGTGAAAAGTGTGCAGGTCGTTGATTATGAATGCATACAAGCGTTTGTGGAAATGTTCAATACAGCACTATAAAAACAAACCAGTACAACCAATACCAAAGCAAATATGGAACGAGTATGGAATTCATGCAGAAATAATGGAGCTTGGACCACCCATATGGGCATAACATTAATAACTTTCTTTCCCTTATATAATACAACTTAATTCTCGTGTCAACACTGATGCTTCTCAAAAATCTCCTTCCACAAGCCAGAAATATGCGAAGCATCAGCATTTCGGGCTATCCGAGAGCAGATATGAAAATCCGAATCCACAGAATAACAAAAGATCACACCAGATAAGGAAGATAATGTGTAACTGTATAGTCACAGAGGCTCCATGTTAGCTTTGGAATGACTGGTTGCTCCAAGATTCACCCACAAAGAAGAGGTGAAGTAACTAATTGACAAGATTAAAGTGTGGAGAATTACAGTACACATGTACACACACATTAACACTATACAAGTCAAGCCAAAAATTTGCTGTCATTTTGGAAATCACAGAATTGCATTCAGTATCTCTGGGTGGTCAGTGCTGCAGCTCTTTTCAGCTAGCTTGACAATGTCTGCCCACACCAAGTGCTGACTGGAAACACACTGTACTGCGAAACTAACAGTAACACTTTCACTTTACTTAAAACGACTATTTCCAAGGTCAAGAATGTTTTAAGCCAGCCCTTCAATTATAGTATTATAATATAACAGCTATGTTACTGTATACTATGATTGTCTGTTTGTACAGTAGTTACAGATGCTTCACAGGAGGAGTTCTAGTTGTTGACAAATAATATATATATATTTAAATACTTTTAATAATTATACAACTTTTTATACTGCTTAAAAATGTTGGGCGTGTTTGCTGCTTCTTAATACATACAATTCACTTATTCCTGTGCCAAAAGATATTTAGAAAAAAAACTGTAGAATAGTGAATATGAAAACTTTAAGTCTCTTAATTAAAGGACACCCTGTTAGTCAAACTTCAGTTTAAGTATGTTTTTAATCATTTGACTCCCATCTGTCCTACTTCAAAAAAGCATTTCACAGCCTCTATCTCAACCAGGTGTGCTAAGGATCTCTTGACAAATCAGACCCCTTCATTTTGCAGTCAAGCGGCTCTATGCTCTGACATTAAGTAGACACGGTTGCCATGGCAAGCTCATTTGCATGGCACAAAAGACACCTGAGAAGCTGGGGCTGGCACCTGGCCCGGTTCATACAGGAACAGCAAGCTAGGATGGTTCACAAGCAATTTTGACTGTGGGCTGCTCACAGTGAAC